AGAGTCTCCTGGAGGGAGAACGTGAAATTTGTGGATAGATCTATTCGGGACTGACAATCCCACACCTAAACTGTTAGCTACAGTTAGGCGGGCACGCCTGGGGTGACAAATTTTGTAAATCGAACGACGCCTGAAGAACGTCAAGGAGGTCACGGGTCATATCAGTATGGTTATACGGCTCACAATACGTATTTAACAAACCAACTTGGTTACGGATTTTTCTTACTTTATTTCAATTATAGTTTTATGTATTAAAACTATCTACTTTCACACTGGATGGTATTCCAGGGATCTAATCTAATAGTTTTATGTATTAAAACTATCTACTTTCACACTGGATGGTATTCCAGGGATCTAATCTAATAGTTTTATGTATTAAAACTATCTACTTTCACACTGGATGGTATTCCATGGATCTAATCTAATAGTTTTATGTATTAAAACTATCTACTTTCACACTGGATGGTATTCCAGGGATCTAATCTAATAGTTTTATGTATTAAAACTACTTACTTTCGTACTGGATGGTAATTCCAGGGTTATAACTTATGGTTTTCATATCTTATTCAAATAAACTTACATGTTAGAAAATATGGGATTTTCTGGGAAAAACATGCCTATGTATTTCATAACTCAGTAACGATGGCTTCTCAATATTACAGTAAACCTTTACAAAAGGAAATGAATTATTTAACACTGGATTAAATAAACGATTTTTCCTTAACAAAATATGCTTATGAACTCACCAGCTTTATGCTGATATTTTAAAAACTGCTTGTATTCTCAGGGCATCCTTAGACAGGTACTCACACTAACTTTTGGAGAAGACGGAGCATATAGAAGACTCGCCTTTACTTTCGTTCTAACCAATGTATCTAAGTAAACTTGTAGTACTTTATTTTCAAACAAATGTAAAACTTTCTCATGTAATGTAATGGTTGTGTTTACTATGCTTGTTGTGTACATTGGTTGTGATACTCTACATGACGTCACTCCGCCCCGGAACGTTTCCGCCATCGGTTTCGGGGTGTGACAAAAATTTACTATAAAACGGGATAACGATAACATCTATTGAGAAATGGAAAAAGATAAAAACAACAATCAAAATTTTTATTAGCATTCAAACATGTCTTTAAGATCAAAATGACAAATGTAAAACACGCAAATGTAAACAAAACAATTTAAGTATAAAACATGCATGCATAATTAAAAAAATAAAAACTAAATGGATGTTTAAACAAATGCTAAATATAATTAATTCTTCTTTCCGGGACGTTCTTTCAAAATGTTGTTCTTTTCATCTTCTTTCCTTACAGGACAATTTAGCCAATCATGATCGTTGCCGTTGCGACAATAACTGCATCTGGAACCCTTTGATTTTTCTGTTGCAACCTCTCTCGAACTTTTCATTCTTTTTTTAGTACCACTTCCTTTGTTGCGGATTTCTCCTAGATTGTGAATATCCAAGCTAGTGGGAATGGTAACACCAAATGTTTTTTCGAAATCTTTATTCTTGTTTCCTTTATCATGAGTTGTGAAATTGGAAAGGAACTTTGCTTCAAGCTGCTTTATTTCCTGCAAGTATTCTTTCAATTTGGTGTGATTATTGCTGAGAGAAGATACACAGTTATCAACAGTAGAAAATATATCAAGTGCAACTCTTTGGATATTCTCGTCAGAATCAGCATAACGAAAACACATTTTCAATAGTTTTGTGGGGATGATGTCCTTCTGCCAGCGTCTGAGTAAATATTTGGAAGGAATCTCTTTGATGTTATATGACTTCATTACAGTAAAAATGTGGCGACACAAAAAACCAAATTGCTCAAACTTCATACAAGGACATGTAAATGTTTGTGCAGACTTATTGTGTGTAACCTGTATTGAATAAAGTGAAGAAAGTTTAGAATATATATATATATATATATATATATATATATATATATATATATATATGAAAATTAAAAGATTAAGAGTACATGTTTCAAGAGCGATTACCTTGTAAGTAGACTCACGTATAGGTATATCCCATTGATCATCATTTTCAACTTCTAGATCAATATGAGAACCATTTGAATTAGAAGGAATGTAATGAATAAATTCCTTGACAAGACACTCATCAATATCATCAAATGTGCTGATACAAATTTGTGAACATGAAACCATAGACAAGTACATTTCATTTTGAACTTGACGAAAAACAGTGCGAGTGTAAAACATAGATGCATTCCTCTCGATCTCAAATGGTGTCCTCATTGTTGGATGTTTTTCGTTAGTTTTGAAGTCAAATGATGATTGAGTGAATCTTTGCTTCTCCATAGCAGCTTCAAAAGAAATCATAAAATGGACAAGAGTAGAACCATAATGAGTGTTCTGGTGAAATGCAGAATTCTAACTTTCAGAACGAGATGTGGTTCTCATTAATCCTGATAAAGGTACATGCTTGAAAAATGCAGGTATCCAGAAATGTCTCAATACATGCATATCATCCAACCATTTATTATCTGTGAGCTTATATTCATTCAATAAGGACTTCCACCCTACATCAAAGTCATCAACTTCAAGCCTCGAATTCCATATCAAGAAGTTGAACTTTTTACGAAATTCTGGATTGTTGACAATGTTCAAAGAAACCTGAGAATTTGTAAATGTAATATCTGTAAAGAACTATATACCAAATACATTCTGGTTTGAATACACCAAAAAAATGATAGTTTTATTGGTAAACTTTATTACATAGACAATAATAAATACCTTCAATGGCAATTTAGATGTGATATGCCACATGCAAAGCCTATGAATCGATTGTGGGAAAATAGTTTCGATGGCTTTCTTCATTGCAGGGTCTTGGTCGGATAAAACCAACAATGGTTGTTTGCCAAAAGCTTTAAGAAAAGATTTCAACAACCATATATAGGAATCAGTGTCTTCTCTGCTCAACAAGCCAGCACCAAAAGTGACACACCTCTTATGATTATCAATTCCAGTAAAAGGGACAAAAACCATATGGTACCTGTAAAAGTATTTTAATTAATATATATTATTAATAAATAGAAATATATTAAACTAAAATCATTTACAACCTGTTATTTCGAAAAGTAGCATCGAAAGAAACTACATCACCAAACTCTTTATAATTGATCTTGGATGTTTCATCTGCCCAGAAAATAGCATTCAACTGCTTATTCTCAACTCGATACTCAAAAGAAAAATTCTTAACATTCTCTTTTCTGTTATTCAGCTTGTCTACTAGCATCTGAGCATCACTACCACCTATAAATCAATTGAGATCCCTCATGTAATTTTTGAAGTCATCAATTAGACCGCCTACAAAATTATATCCACCAAGAATACTTGTATACAGCCTATGAGTTATGGTTGCACCAATATTCTGATTAGACATTGTAAGAATGAAAGATTTTTGAGTGTCATCCAACTGCCTATGATGACGTGAAAATAACATATTGTCTCTTGATATAAGTGGATGATTGTGTTTTTCTTCAAATTCACAAAACAACCGTTTGGTAGTTCCAGGAAAAATTTTAAATCGTATACGCGCATTGCATCTGGTCCTACTGGTGTCAACCCTTCTTTTAATTTTACTTATTTTTTGGTCCAAAGTATCAACAGGAGATGTATTTGGGAAACCTTCCCTGTTACATAGAAGATATTTGATGTACACAATTCCACGCTTCTTTTTGTTTGTTGACTTTCTAACATCAAAACCTGCTGCACATGCATATCTTCTGTACATGTCTTCAATTGCATCATCAGATGGGTATTTATGGTTTATTATCGGCTTAAGATCATCAGGGACAGAAGGAATCCAATACGATTTACCAGCTATTACCAAGTGTTGATCAAGACAATCATCTTTTCTCTCTTTACATAATTCAATGTCTGTAACATCTAAGAACCATTACAAGTTAATAATAGATTACAAATAACAAATCAAATAAACTTAAATATACATTTTCAATAAATTATACTATTCTGAAATGTCAATTTTTTGATAGTATTATAACAATATACAAAATTGTGTAACGTAATTGACACATATTTAACGAAATTAAAAAAAATCATACCAGGAAGTTGAATTGATTGATGAATATTTTCAAGAACTGTGAAATCACGTTCATTGTGGTCATCCATGATGTCGACTTTTCCGAATGCGAGATTATCATCAGTCGAACAAAATTCATCATCACTTGACAAAAAATCGTCATCAACTCATGCAGTTTGAACGTCATTGATCTCGTCCTCTTCATTAATCTCGTTTATATTATCAAACTCGTTGGCGAATGACAAATCCATTAATCGATTCTTATGGACAACTTTCAGAACAGCTTAACTTGAATATCGGATTCAGTATGATTTGTTAATATTGATATTAGAAACTTGGATTTTTTCAATATGATGACTGATACACACGATTGATAAACACGATTAATGATTGAAGAATTAATAAATGTTTGTTAGAAATAATATAAAACGTTCCTTAATTATAGGAGTTTACATTGATATAGTCTTTAAATTTGATTAAACAATCAATCTTTGTCTTTACTAATGTAAAATAATATAATTTTTTATTTAATTAATTATATATATTGATTGGTTGAGATTTCTCTTCATGTTCTGACTTTAAAAATATTTCTCATATTTTTTTAAAAAATAAACCATTTAAAAGATTATGTATATGTTAAAAAGATATTTTAGGTGATTATTTGAAACTTCTTAGTCCATTCATTTTACTTCAATAAAACTCATTTATTGGTTGCTTTCAAAAAATAAAATATAACTCCAATTTTATCGGTTCAAAAATAAATAAGTAAATATCTCTATCTGCAGGTTTAGATATTAAACCATAATAAATAATATTATTGTATCTCCCAGAATAATATTTCAAATATAAAATATTCAATTATTTATACATATCGAACCTAAACCAAGACATAGTATCCAACCCTTCTCGTACCATTATTCATCACGACAAAAAAAACATGCTGAAACCTCACCTCCACCACCACCACTCAAACTCTACTCAACCCTTACCCACACGGCAGCACAAGGCTTTTGTCGCCGGAGATGGCAGCTCTTCTGGTGGTGACAGTGGAAGCGCCGTCAGTTTCCTTTCTCTCAACAAGCTTTCAGTACCTATCAAACCAAACGGCTTACATGCAGTACGGTCATCCCGTCAAATCAAAGCCATCGCCACTGACAAATCCATTGCCACCACAACCACCACCAAAGTGAAAGCCATTATCACCGTTCAGGTGACCATGGGTGGGCTCATATCCAGTATAGGGCTTACAAAAGGACTTGATGATATAGCAGATTTGCTCGGGAAATCCCTCCTATTGGAGCTAGTTGCTGCTGAGGTTTGACTCTAGTAAGTCTAAAAACACATTAAAATATTACAAAATAAATACCATGAGAATATTGTCCTTTTAATAATAATAAAATGATGAAATATGATGAAGTTAGAGAAAAGAGAGAAGGAGAGTAATCTTTAATATTTTGCGAGACGTTAACATCTTAACAACCTAAGTTAGCAAGGTTTAACGTTACAATCAAATAACCAAAATTACTTATTTTTTTTCTACAGTACAAATCCAGTTTTAGGATAAAAAGGCAACTAATTAATAGCTATATTTTTATGATTTAACAAAAATCATTAATTCATCACATGCAAAAATTTGCATAATGAATGATGATTTGTTTGCAACACAACACCCATGAGCACAATTGTCCACCTTAAAATATAAACCTATCTTCAACCCTTCATTTTAAAAGAGTTGAACAGAAAATAATGCAAATAACGCTTTTATATCAAATTTTACTGTATTTTTTACACCATTTAACACAAAAAAAGCTCTTCTAATATATATTTTTTGTAACTTTTATATATTTGTCAAAAGCCTCATTTTATTGTTCGTTTTAAACAAATATGAACTATATCTTAACTTTATAAATTATATTATCATAAAACTATAACAAAATATATTAAACTTTATTTTTTATGCTTAACTAACATGATAAAATATCTAGCAGGATAATACGAATATTAGCACTTAAATTATTAGACTAAAATTTAAAAACCTAAATCCAGATTAACCAATCGAGTACAGATATTAAACTTTATTTTTTATGCATATGAATAATATTATTCGATATTGGGTTGTAGCTATAAGCATAAACTCATAAAAATGATTGTTAACATTTATTTATAAACACTTTTTGTTTTACTAAAAATAAAGGATTTTTTATGTTAAAATGAAACTATAAATAATAAAATTTATTAGATCGAAGAATATCTAACAAATTATATGTAGATCAAAGTTGTTAAAATCGGATATCTAATCGTATGATTGTACGGTATGTAGTTAAATTGATCTTGATTTTACTATGTTTTACTATGATCGTTTTTCTGTAAGATCGTAAGATTGTAGAATCATTATTATTATTTTTTTAAAATAAATTAATATTTTTTTTCTTAGATTAAATCAATAGAATACCCCTTTTGAATTGTTTATCGTGAAATGATTTATTAGATATTTTATTTTATGTTTTAAAATATGTATTGCTAAATGAGTGCTAAACAAATAGATGAAAAAATAAAATTTTCTTACCTATATTATATTCTTTGAAAAAAGATATTATATATTAAATCTTATTAATTTCATACCTTACATCTATACATGCATAACCTAAATTTGTTTTCTAGATTCACCTGTGGTGTAGATAAGAAAATAAAAATGTATTATTTTGTTATGACAAAGTGGTTGGAAAGACAAATAAACTATAATTCATAAATAGTCAGTATCTTTCATATGAATAAGTGAAAAAACATGGATATTATCTCCTTAACTTACAAATAAAAAATAACACATGTAAATGTTAACATGCATCTAATAGATCTGTTTCACTGTTGTCTATTAATGAAAGGGACAGGGATACCAAAGGATACGATTAAACATTACGCACACCACACAGGGCTAGACATAAAAGATGTAAAGTATGTGGCGGAATTTGACGTGCCAGACGACTTTGGTCAAATCGGCGCCATTTTGATAGAAAATGAACACCACAAAGAGATGTATTTGCAGACAATTCGACTCGAAGGATTTTCCAACAACACGCTGGAAATCATTACCTTCAACCCGAATTCTTGGGTTCATTCCAAATTCGATAATCCTGAAAAACGTATTTTCTTCACTAATAAGGTTTACATTCTATCCTAAAAAAACATATATATATATATATATATATATATATTATATATATATAATGTTCTGTTTTTATGCCTCACTAGCTTCTCCTGGCTTTTTTGGAATAATATTTCTGTGTTGTTCAAAAAAAAAAATAATAATAATGGTAGAATATGTGGTATAATACAAGGTCGACGATAATAAGATATAAAATGGTCCTTTGTACTATGTTGATTGACGTGACTCTCTCCCTCTCTATATATATATATAATATATATATATATATATATATATAAGATATCTATATAATATATAGAAGATATGAAAGGATATATAATACAAGGTCGACCATAATCCTTATTCTAATAAAAAATTAGTTTTATTCTCCTTTTGACATGTGTCACCTTATTAGACTTCTTATTAGACCTGTTAATTAATACATAGTTTATTCTTCTTTTGTCATGTGTCACCTTATTATGTCTCCTAATTAATATTTGCCACTTGTCAACCTATTGATTATTCATTTCAAATTTTAAATTTTAAATTTTCCACTCTATCTACATTAAATTAATGACATTAAAATTAAAATAAAATTAATACAAATTATAAAGTGATATAATTTCACATATTTATTTAAATCAATGATTATAATTTTATATAACTAAAAAAATCGTTTAATTAATAATTTATTTAAATACTTGATTAATAACTTTGAATTTTTAGTATAAAAATTTAATTAATTTTGTAAGGGAAATCTCCAGAAAAGTCCAAAAATTTTACCCTAATTTACGAAAAAGTCTCAAATTAAATTTTGTTTACGAAAAAACATAATTACCGGTAAAAATGGCGATTTGACCCCTTTTTCCGGTTTACCGGTTTTATTACTTACATGTTTCACTAAAGCCCCATTATTTTGCCCTAATTTGCGAATAAGTCCCAAAATAAAATTTACTGATGATTTAACCATTTGTTCTATGTAACATACATTTTATTGGTTTCATTGTTGACCTGGACGTCTAGTCATTAAAGAAGATGATGAGATGGATATGTTGAGTTATATAATGTTATGTTTAGCATAAAACTTGGTATCCTGATGTATTGTATATCTTTTTGGAACATAAAATGCATTCAACGAAGACTACAATAATTACATAAACTAACAACAACTGCGTTATTTTTTACGTTTATAAGAAATATCAAATTGTCTATCTAATCTTATGTAACCCAATATATCCATCTCATCAGACATCAACTCATTTTCTGTCTTTTTTTCTTGGAAACACATATTTTATTGGTTTCATTGCTGACGTAGATACATAGTCACAAATGAGCCGATGAGATATATATCAAATTTTACAGTAAATGTGACATTATATAACTCATCGTATTCATTTTATCAGCTAATTTAATGACTAGATGTCTAAGTCAGCAATGAAACCGATAAAATGTATGTTACAAGAAGAAAATGACAAAATCATCAGTAAATTTTATTTTGGGACTTATTCGTAAATTAAGGTAAAATAATGGGACTTTAGTGAAACATATAAGTAATAAAACCGGTAAACCGGAAAAAATGGGTCAAATCGTCATTTTTACCGGTAATTCATGCTTTTTCAAATTTTAGTTTGGGACTTTTTCGTAAATTAGGGTAAAGTTTTAGGACTTTTCTAGAGATTTTCTTATTTTGTAATCGTGGTTCCCACGGCTTATAAACTAGTAATATATAGAATTGTCTTTCGTACTATGTTGATTGACGTGACGATCTGTCACCAAATACGGCGAAATCTTTTTGAGTTGTCAATTTTTGCAAAGCTTAATGGTTGTAATATTCTCCAATCAAAATAAAAAAAAAAATTAGATATGAAGATATCTGATATACATAGTTTTATTTTGGAAACCTTTGAAAAAGAATTTGTTTAACTACTCATTAGCTACAAATCACTATGCATAACAACATTTAAGCATGTAATATTGAGAAAGGCTTTATATAAAAATAATTAATTTATCTTTATCTATTGAAAATATTATATAAAGTCCTGTGGTTTTTTTCTTAAATACATGTAATATTTGAATACGAGATGTTAATTTAAATAACTAAATATATTACATTATACGAACTATTATTGAATATTTAATAATACGAACTAGTTAGTGAATAGATAAAATCGTAAAAATAGTAGTAAAGTACAATTAAAGACATAAAATAAAATATTATTGAATAAAAAATAAAAAATATTAAATATATGCAAACCATAAAATACAAATATGTAAAAGTATATTATTGAGGTGGCATCTATGTTCATTTTTTATGTTCTTATCTATTTTTTATTCTTAAATTAAACTAAATTAATATTCATGAGAATCTATCCAAATCAAATATGTAAAAGTATATGAATCGTGTTTCGTGTTTGTGTGACGCAGTCGTATTTACCATCGGAAACTCCCAGCGGACTGAAGCATCTCCGAGAAAAAGATCTAGCAAGCCTTCGAGGCGATGGTGTCCCCGAAGGCCCTCGGAAAAAGCACGATCGAATATACGATTACGATGTATACAATGATCTCGGTGATCCCGACAATAAGCCGGAATTGGCACGTCCGGTGCTCGGAACCAAGGATTTGCCTTACCCTAGGCGTTGCAAAACCGGTCGCCCTCGCACTAAATCAGGTATCGATCAACTTGACATCAGCACGACGATCTTAGATTTCTTCTTAGCTTTCGTTTGCTATGACTATTAATTCATAAAGATCTCCTGCTGAATTGGAAATATTGTACAGAGATTATAACGATCTGTTAAGTTTCATCGATCAAGCCCTAAATTTGAGTAAATCAGCCGATTTGCGCATCAGAAATTCTCCTGAATTTGTGTTATTTGTTTTAAGTTGTAGCTTCATTCTGTTAGTAACATGACTTGCCATTGATTCAATTTATCCTGCTAATTAACATTTCATAGCAATTAAACAAATTACTTCATTGTTGTTTGGTTGGATGATTGAATAAAATTTCGAATTTAGATCCTTTATCAGAGTCAAGACACAGTGGTATCTACGTGCCAAGGGATGAAGCCTTCTCGGAATTGAAAAATATGACATTCTCAGCAAGGACAGTATACTCATTGATGCACGCAGTTATCCCTTCATTACAAACATCCATTATTGACCACGAGCTTCCATTTCCACATTTCACATCAATTGACTCTCTTTACAAGGATGGGCTTCATATGCCCCAGTTAGAATCCAAAGGGTTTCTTAGAAATACACTACCTCGACTTCTCAAAATGGTTGAAGATACCCAACATAGCATATTGCGCTTTGAGACCCCTGCAATATTCAAAAGTAAGTTAATCAATAAAACAATTTTTTTATGTATCCAGCTTGTCATATCCAAGCTATCCTACATTCGAAAACATAAAGATTTACACTTTATTTTGCAGAAGATAAATTTTCTTGGATAAAAGATGAAGAACTTTGTCGACAAACCCTTGCTGGCCTACACCCATGTGCCATTCAATGTGTGAAGGTATACTTTCCAACCCCTATCCTCACATCAATTAGTTAGCTTTTAATAGCTTAGGTAGTTTTTGCCTTTTTGGTACTCAACAATCGAAGTGGAAATTAAAAGATCTTGTTTGTTTGCCATAAAAGAATGGAATGAAGCATTTTTTACGAATATGACCCATTCTCATGGGTTGATTTACATTACATGGAGGTGGTGTGTTTCTTTTTCATTTTTTTATAGAATAAAATGTCACTTTATAATTGTAAAGTAATTTTAAATATATAACTTTTAATAACACCAACGTTTTTCAGAAATTTTAAACTTTCAAAAAGTAACTAAAATTAATATTTTCTATTATAATTCTATTTTAAAATTCCATGGTTTTTGATTTGTTTTATTTTTAAATTTTTTTACTATTTTAAATGCATATAGTATATATAAACGATATAAAATATGTTTTTATGTAATTTTTCTAACGATATATCTTTATTAGAATAAAATTTATTTTTATTAAATAACATTTTTATTTTTATATAGGAATGGCCTCTAAAAAGTCAACTCGACCCTGAGGTGTACGGTCCACCGGAATCAGCGATTACAAAAGAATTAGTCGAGGAAGTAATTGGAGGCATCATCCCGGTTGAGGAGGTACACGTCATCATCACATTCATAAATTATACCAATTTCATATTTTATTATTTAAAAAAAAAACATAAAGGTAGAATATAATTAATGAAATTATAATTTATCAATCATCATGCAGGCGTTAAAGCAGAAAAAGCTTTACATCATAGACTACCACGACATTCTCCTCCCATACGTGAACAAAGTGAGAGAAATCAAAAACATGAGAACAACGTTATACGGATCAAGATTATTAATGTTCTTAACACCTTCCGGAACCTTACGACCAATCGCCATTGAATTAGTCAGGCCACCTGGCGATGGAACACCGCAATGGAAACAAGCATTCACTCCACGGTGGGATTCCACCGGAGCCTGGCTTTGGAAATTAGCCAAAGTCCATTTCCTTGCTCATGACACCGGAATCCACCAGCTTGTAAGCCACTGGTAAGTAATCAATTAATCCATGATTCCATAACATAATCCACCCTTCGATTCTTCTAGAACCTCTATTTGATTATTAATTAAGTAAATTACACAGATGGTCCCTGTGCTTTGATTTTGTTGCGTTGTTGGTCCCTGACCGACTTAAAATGACCAATATATCCAATACATAAGG